CTAAAACGTCTGCCGACAGTCTAGAATACATTGTTAGAGTTTTGAGTTTTATGTGTGGTATAGGTTCAAATCTCGTGCTCCTAAAACGTCTGCCGGCAGTCTAGAATACATTGTTAGTAATAAGAAAATTTTCATTAATTATCCCTTTAAAAAAAAAAAAGGGAGGCATCCAATTATGTTCTTCATATGTTTCTTTCTACATTCTTTTGATATGGAATAATAATCAATGACCTACACAAATTTAAGTTACCGTACGTGTCCTCTTGAAAGTTTGGGGTGGTGTTATTGCCACAGCTTCACAGGTTAACACCACAGCTTTTTTAATTAATTGACCATTAACCCACACGGAGAAGGTGGTGGCTGCTGCAAGTTGGATTCAAATGAGGGGTATAATAGTCAAATAATTAAAAAAAGCTGTGGTATTAACAGTTGTGGCTGTGGCAATAACACCACCCGAAAGTTTGATTCGGCAAATAAGTCAGACTTTTATCTCCTGCGAAAAAGGCATTGATTGGAAGAGTTTCTGGCTGACTTTTAAAGCAGACGGTGAGGTAATATCTACGAGTTAGCTTACATATGTCATAACCAGGTTTGTCCTTTTGAGTTTAAGGTATATGGTATACACATAAAGTAAGTTAGTGGATAAAAAATAATTATTTTTTATTATGTAATTTAAAATAAAAATAAAAAATCAAAAGATTTACCTTCCTCAAAAAATTGAATCTTCTCTGAGATATGGTTCATTTTAAATTAAATAAATGTAAAAAACATATGATCTTTATTTTCAAATTAACCAAGGATGTGAGAAAAAAGAAAACTAAAAATGTCTAAGGTGGCGTTTCAAGTGATTAGGAATTTAAAATTCTAAATTGAAGATCTCGAATTCAAATTTTGAGGCAAATAAGGAGAGATAAAAGAAGGGGAGGGCTATATCATATTGTATAACACGTTATCTAATTGAAAGAAAAAAAATAGAAGGTAAAGAAAACCGATGGCTAAAAGGAAAATGTGGTAAAGAAAGCCAAGCTAGCAATCAAAGAAGGCAAAACCCCCAAATTTACTCCTCAAAAAGGTGGGTAGGGATAGAATAAATTGTCTCTCTAAATTATAAATCAAGACAAATCATCCAATTTTTTAACAAATTTTATTTGACACGTAAGCATTTTAACAGAAAATTAACAGAACCTATTAAAAAAAGGGTTATTTATCTTAATTTATAATTTGGAGGGGTAATTTGTCCTTGTAATTTTTTGAGGGGTGGATTAGTCCCCATCCACCTTTTTGAGGGGTGGATTTTGGGGTTTTGCCATCAAAGAACTACACTTGCCCAAGACATCTGGGGACAAAATCGTCCATTAAAAAATATCTATTAGCACCCATTGTATATAAATAGAATTTTTAACATGTATCTTTAAGTTGGATGTATTATTATACTTTTTATTATTAATTTATATAAAAAATAAAAGTTAAATTTGATTTTATCAATTGTTTAATTAAAATATTTCATATAATATTGGTGTTAAAAATAAAATTTATTTTTGTAATTTTTCATAAAAATTAATGATAAAAATATACGATAAATACGCTATAACAAAAATTAAAAAAAAACTAATATAAATACAAAAATTAATTTAAATTATACAATATAAATTATTAAATAATAAATAAATCTTTAATATTGAGAGCTATTTCACTAATCCATTCAATAGTTACGCTTTGCAATTGAGAGGGACCTCAAATAAATATGCAATAGCAATTTCCGTAATATATTGGAAATATCCATTTGCTTTGAAATGACTTCAGACTTTAAAATTTCCCCACCGGTTGATCCCACAATGTGTGGTTATCGCGGGCCGGACTTTAAAAATATCAAAAGATAAATTTAAAGGTAAAATAAAAAAATTTAATTCTAAACTGATGGAGCATCTAATACTAGCAATTTACGATGTTCAAAAAAAAAAAAAATGTTGTTTGAGATGACGCCCGACTTCTTCAGACTTGAAAACTTCTTCCCTACCGTTAGATCCCACAATTTTCTGTTGTCTCCAGGCGGACAAGT